CATGTATTATGGTAGCCGGTGGAGACTTCGGGTTGCATTACATGTGTGAGTATCATCTCATGACTTGACATGGCATTNTGGTGGATTGGGGTAAACTGATTGTTGATGAGGAGGGTACCTTCAAGGAGGGACCAGTGCATATCATGCATAATTGAGAGCAGGTTTTGCGAGGCAAGATTGTGAGGCTGATGATGATGTTGTGATAGCATCATGGTATGGAGGAGGCGACATGGGAGCTTGAGGATACAATACATAGTAGTTATTCATTCTTTTTTAGGATATAGGTACTTTATTGTAATCATAAAGCAAGCTTTTTCTGTTTGCATATGCATTTTGTTAATGTGCATGTGTGTGTGAATTTTGGGGATGAAAAAACTTGAAAATTTTTAAAATTTTATTGTGAAGGTAAAATGGTACGAGTTAAAAACCCAAATTTTTTAGAACTTGGATGACAAAACGGACCTCACTATTGTAATCGTCTTGCAAAATCTAGTTACCTAGTCAATTTTCGTTGAATTCTAAGAGAGTCAATTTTTTTTGCGTTTTACGATGCGATCAGGCACTGCATGACTAAAATAAAAGCGATCATAATTAATTGTGAAATATGAAAAATAATTTAAATTTATTTCTAATATAATATGTTGAACATAACACAGGACCAGAATTAATTGATTCGAGACAAAATCAAATAAGAAAAAGATGGGACATGTAATTTAATGAGAGCCAAGCAAATAAGGGTACAAATAGGGGAGAAAAATTAGATTTTCTCCCCATTTACACAGCTGATTTTCTGATAAAGATAGAGGGACAAAGACGAGAGATATATGATCATAATGTGCTTATGATATATTGAGTTTATAAAATATGTCGGCGTACGCATAGCCATTGGTGGAAGTACATAGATGCAGTGTCGGTTGGGTAAACGTTGGTGGAAGTCCATAAATACCCACCCCAAGAAAGATTCGAGATTTTAAAAATGGTCATTGGATGTTCAACATCAATGACGAGGGCTTAGAATACTCGGATTCATACTCATGACATTGCATGTATTATGGTAGCCGGTGGAGACTTCGGGTTGCATTACATGTGTGAGTATCATCTCATGACTTGACATGGCATTGTGAAATCCATTGCAAATAAAATATTTTTGAATGGATGCTTGATTGATTGTTGAATTAAATATGAACATTTCATATGCATCTAGGTTGAGGACTAGCCTCTTTAGGAGATATCCTATTAAGCGTGTCTCACCCTTTCTGGAGATAATATTTCAGGTACGGGACAAGCACCGGTAGACAGCACTCACTTGGGTCTTTGTCGACAAAGAAACAAAGTTGTGGTTTTTAAATTACATTTTTGTAAAATAATTGTGTAATTTGTTTTAAACTTGTGAAGTGTATCATGAGGACATGTAATGGACTCTTACAAAATATATTTTGTGTAAAATTGAATGTTATAGGAGTTAGAATGAACTCAGAATGAGATTGGATGGTTAAAGGTTGAAGTTTGCAAAGAATTGGGGAAATTCTAAGCCTAGGTACTAGTACCACACTGTTAGAGCCACACTATCAGACGGCCCAAGTACTAATACCTAGACTTATGGGTGCCAGTACTTGAATTCCATTGGGCTCAAGTACTGGTAGTAAGACTTTAGGTATAGGTACCTGGCAATTGGAAGAAACTTGGGAAACAAGAGGTCCAGGTACCGGTACCGCGTCACTTAGGTACTAATACCTGGCAAACAAAAGGTTTCGGTACCACGTGAGATAGGTATCGGTATCTCTTTCAAAATTTTCAAAAATTAAAGTAAACTTTGCCAAGATTTTGGGCCTTCAGTCTTCTTGTTTAAAGAATGTAATTGGTGCAATGCTAAGGGCGAATTGATGGAGATTGTAACTTGGAATGATCATGTGATGACGTGGTGTCGGGTTATGCGACATACACGAGTACTTCCGCGGGTTGATAGGTGATCAACGGGTTGAGAAAGAACCCCAGATTTTGGGGCGTCACACCATTCCACTCCACTTAAATCAAGTCATTTTAGTCCCATCACTAATTTCCTTCACTTAAATACTTTCTCAAATACTTGGGATGCATTTAGGTAACATGGGAACCCATCAAGCAGTTTTACCAAAAATAAGCTTTTAACCTTACTAAATTTGTTCAAAACCAAATTGATTACAAATTTGAATTCCTAAGATTTCTAATCATCAGTTATGAGCTCCAAAACGGTGTCCCAAGGAAAGTATTGTAGTCCTTTTTCCATCGGGTATCAAATATGTCCAACTAATAGTTTTCCAATTTTTTAGTCATTTTTTAAACAGAAAATTGTATTGGCACGCATATAATATGATGTTCTACCCTATACCATTGGTACAGGCTTTGAATCTAGTTCCCTACACTTCAAATAGTACGCAAATCTAAGTTTCCTAAAGAAAGTTATGCTTATTTTTGTACAGGGTGTGAAAGCTGTCCACACAACCGAATATTCCTTCAATTTCAGACCCAAATCATGTTATACTCACTTGATTTCCTTAAAAAATACTCTTATACCATCCTAATACCTCATCAAATTCTTTTATTAAATTATTACTACGGTGTTAATATGAGAGAATAATTAAAACATGCATCTCAAATTTTTAAGTATTTGATTCACGTACCTATTCTTGAATTGGAACCAGTAGATCTGTGATTCGCGACACCATAAGCAAATCTAATAGTTGGATCAACGCTTGAAACCACGATTTCCTCCTCCTCTTCCTTCCTCCTTTCTATGGCCTTCCACTCTCATTTTCTTCTTTTCTTTATCTATTCTCCTTTTATTTTATTTGGCAAGCACTGCCTGACCTTTCTTTTTATTTGTTTTTTTTCCTTTCCTTATCCTTATCTAATACCACTTGCCTTAATCATTGACAAAAAATCACACTTTCTCCCCCTTATTCCAATGAGTTAAACTAGAACCCAAAACTTTTATACAATAGCTTCTATTTCCCTAAAACATTTTTCATTTATTTAAAATATCAATCCAAATCTCACAATACCTAATAATTGAAGGTGAATCCTACTTAATATATATTCCCAGTTGACAAAGAGAATCTATTTTAGTACATGGTGGCAGGTGCAATTAAAACATTTACAACACAACCAAAAGTTCACATATGAGAAATATTTCGGGGTTGACCAAAGACAAGTTATAAAAATGAGTATTGATGGTAAGTACTTGGTTGGATGTGAACTAACTAAGGTAGCATGTAAAATGGCATGTCCCTAAGAAAAAATTGGAAACTTTGTCCTCATAAATAAAAGGTTGAGCAATCAATTGAAGTCTTTTGATAAAAGTCTAAGCTAGGCCATTTTTTCGTATGAGTGTGAGCAACTGGATGCTCAACTTCAATCTTGACAGACATGCAATAGTCATTAAATGTTTGGAATGCAAATTCATTGGCAATATCAAAACAAATTGTCTTTATTGGATAATAAGAGAATTATGCCCGTAATGGGATTATTTGGGCATGTAATCAAGTAAAAGCGACATTACGGGTAAACAACAAAGAGATGTGACCATCTTGTTAATGGTAATGAAATGTTCCACATGATGGATGAATAGGTCCATATATATCCCTTTGACTTCGTTGGAAAAGAATTGGGAATTCAACATTGACCTTTACAGGAGATGGTCTAATAATTAATTTACCTCGTGAGCTAAAGCAACATGAGTAATCACTAGGCAAGAGAATCTTCTTGTTTATTTAAAGGATACCAATGTGAATTGTTGATGATTCGATGCATCATTATTTACCTTGGGTTACCTAGTCGGAAATACCAAAGTAAAACAATGTTTGGATTGGTGAGCTTTTGGCTCATCACCTTGGAGATCAAAGACTTAAACTACTCCCCCTAGGAGCAAGCTAACAATTGGGAATTAAAAATAAATTGAAATTGGCATGAAAAAAGAAGAATCGTTGGATTACTTTCATTTGCCTAACATTCCTTTTTTGAGATTATGCCAAGTTCATTTCGTTTGCGTAAGTGTACTTCATTTCTAGATTATATGTGAGCTATGCTTTACTTTGAATTACGAGAATCTATCTCACATATAGAAAATGAGTGAAACATCAGTATAATCAAAGTGTTGTATGTTTTGAGAGAAAATCCTTGGTGAGATTTGCATTGAAGCAAAATTGGGATAACTAATGTAGATGTGAATTTTATTTGATAAATTTCTTAAATTGCATCATCATTCCACACACACACACACACACAAGTCTCTTATGGAAATTTGTACATGAATACTTTTTCATAGCATTTAAATATGTAATGTAGTAGTGAGTAAATTTCTTAAAGATAATGGAAGAATAATTAGTGTATCTTATTTCTATTTAGAAGATTATAATATGTTCTATGTTCATGATGTACAACAAAGGAAAGCTTGTAGCTACCTTCATTGAAAACCTTCATGAGACATAACTCGTACACTAGTGGTGACCTAGGGTTTTAAAGGCTTGTTACATTTGCTAAATTCAAAGTGGCCTTAGGTTTCTTGTTAGTGCCTTTGATTAGAATTCATTTTAATTTCTAAGCAATGTATAGTTTAACACATGTTTTGTGTGCTTTAACTTTCTATATTGTGTAATAAAGTAATTAAATGTCTTAGGCATGTAAATAAGTGTTAGGAAGCTATAGGATTGTTTAAATGAAGAAAAAGAAATGAAAAAAAATTGAAAAATGAGAGAACCAACGGGTTGAACTTTAACCGGTTGGTCAAAGTATAAAAAGTGCTTCAACTGGTTGAACAAAGGTCATATTTTAGTTTTTTAAAAAGGGAGATGAACTATTTTTTTTGCCTCAGTCCTTGCATTCTATTTGAACCCACTCTCTCAAAATTCCCTCACATTTTCGAAAACCATAACCTACCATCCCTATAGTCTTTGATTTTCCATCTATCTTCCCCCTCTGATCTCCAGCAAAACTTTCTAAGTTCTAAGCCCTTGGTTTCATCAATGGCTTCAAGGAGATTTATGAGTCCTTTGTCTAGGGTTTTGCCCGAGGGGTTGTTCTCTTGGTTCTGGGCTTGTGTAGTGTTTGTTTTGATGTTAGGACTAGTTTTGGTGGGCATGGAAAAAATCCATGGAGTGTCATCCTTGTCTTTGAAGCTGAGAGCATCGAGGAAGGAAAAGGGAACAGGGAAAGCTATGGAAAAAGGTGATGGTGATGGTGATGATGAACCTCGCGAGTCTAAGGCGAGGAAAAATCAAACAGTGTAGTATGAGACAATTATTGCTCGAAAATCTGCCACTTGAGAGTGAATGCTTGACCAAAAGAGTATATGTGAGTCCATGGTTTTGAAAAGTATAATGGATTTGGGTTTTGAAATTTTTCTTTAAGTCTGTGCCTAGATATATTATTGATTTATGTCAAGAAGTTTATATGCGATTAAAGGATGTAGACTCTGATTTGATGATTTTGAGGACCATAGTTCGTGGTAAGTAAATATTTGGAGTATACTAGGCCACCACCTGATAGGATGATTATCCACGCCTAGATTTTAAGGCCAATATTTTGTCCGAGTATAGGAACTTGAATCTATTTAATGGTCAATTTAGTGTGGGGAGTTTGACTAAATAATATAGAACCTTGAGTAAAATCTTACATTACAATGTATTTTTGCAGGGGTCAGATAAGAGGTTGCCTATTGCAAAGATTATTTTTTTATATGAGGTGATGCAGTGTGCGAGGATGGATGTGGCTTTATTTATGTGCGGTGTGATTAAGGACTTTATGTTTCAAAGTAAACCCAAGGGGAATATGCCATTTGCTAACATGATTACACATTTTGGTGTGAATGCAAATGTGAAGAGATATGTGAGAAATCATTTGATTCCTCCTAAGAAAGGGCCCATTAGTAGCTGGTCAAAGAGTAAGAGTGATACCATGTCTAGAGCAACAAGGAATAGGCCTACTTCTGCTCCTTTTGCACCTAGTGCTCCTACCACTCCACCTGTAGGTACTAGCTTCATTCATGCTCCACCAGTTCCTAAGAATACCATACTTCAGAGGATGGATGATTTGGAGTCTGGGTTTGGTGAGATGAAGGCATTCTAGCTACAAATGGCAAGAAACTTGGAGCTATCTTTGGAGATGCAGAGGAGGATATTTACAATTTTTTGCCAAGAGATTCATTACCAGTCCTACCTTTAGTGACTCCTGCCGGTGCTACTTCTTTAGTCACTATTCCACCTACCTCAATACCTGAACCGTCACCTGTAGTTGTAAGTGAGCCTCGAGACCCAAGAATGGAGATTGAGAGTAGTGAGGCAGAGGGTGAGTCTAATTTTGATGAGAGTGACGAGGGAGATCCTGAGTAGATGATGTTAGGATTTGCTAGTTTTGTGTTTTAGCAGTTGTCTAATGGGTTATGTAATGACTTAGGATAGTAAACCTTAGGTTTGTCCTAAAAGTTGTTATATTTTGTCTGCTTTTGTACCCATTGTTAGTTATATATTTAAGTTTTTGTTTATTGTATGTCATGTTTTAAAATTGTTGGTTATGTTTTTATTGATCATGTGACAAAAGTGTTATAAAGCTAATCATGCAAGGATGAATGAATGAATGAATGCATATCTTTTATCCTTGGTTTGCGAGGAACTAGTAAATCTTAAGTTAGGGGGGCATGTTTAGCACTCAATATTGTACATTAACCAAAAGGAATTGAAGAAAGAATACTTCAACCGGTTGATCAGGTACTTCAACCTATTGAAGTCCACTTCAACTGGTTGATATGTTACTTCAACCGGTTGAAGTCCACCTTAACGGTTGATCATTATCGGACAAACGTCTTTTCCTGTTAGCTAGTTTTCTTTATGTTTGATACCTTAAGAGTTAAGTTTTTGTTCAAGTTTTACATTGAAAAAGGTTTGCTGGGTTTTGGAGAAGACAACTGAGGAAATTTGTATTTCATTTTCAAAGCTTTTCTTCTATGGTTTATTTTTGTATTTTAACGAAGTGTTTGAAGCTAATCTAGTGCAGTGAATTTCCTTTCATCTTGTTGCTCATTTCTTTAAGTTTACATGATGCTCTATGTTGATATTGGATTAATAGGTCTTATTTTTGACTAAGTTTTGGCATGATCCATGGGATAAAACTTGTTCATAGTTAATTTTTGTTGATTCTCAGTCATGTTTGTACCACGAAGTATGCTTTTAGGATGATATAAATTAATTTTGAAAACTAGTGTTTATTTATGCCCTTTAATTGATCGTTGACGGATTTGCGGCACGATTAATGCATAGGGTAAGGATTTACAACTATGTACTTATCATTAGAAAATTTATTATCCAACTACAAAGGAGAAAATAGTTTATAGTGTAAGCTCTACTATATATGTAAGCTTCATAAAGGATTAGGTTATTTCAAAAGGTTTCCCAAAATAAAAAATCATTACGTGCTCAAGGTGATGAGTTTTATATGAAAATATAAAGATAGTGCACAAGTAGAGTATGAAAATCCCCCTTGATTTGGTTAAGGGCATATCTGCAAATTAATAGAATGAAAATATAATCCTATTGTGAATAATATGAACTAATTATCCTAACAAAGCAAAATTTATGTAAAATAAACACAAACTAACTGAATTATCTTGGTGGGACCTCCATAGAAGTAAATTCCCTAAAACATCTAAAGTACTTATGAAAACACAGTGCACGAACTAGAAAGTAATTAAAGAGTCTGAGAAAGGTAGAGAGAAAAGGTAGAAAATGCATGAGATTCTAGTTGACTAAGCTGGTGATGATGGGCCACCACCGTATCTCGTTCCAAATAGCTTCAGGATATTTCTCCGGTTCTCCTTTTCATTGTAGTTTTGTTCCTGTGTTCAAAAACTATCAATACATGCAAGTATAAGTAATTAAACATTCATAAAAAACCACTAAATTAAAATTAAAATTTAACACACCAAAACTTAAAAAGAAACACAAAACCCTAAAAGTTAACATTATTGATTATGACAAAAGATCAATTTTCATCAGATTCCTCTAAACTCAGTGAATCAATGAACTGAGCAATCTCATGCCACACATATCTTGTAAGCATTGGACTAGAATAAGATGGTGTCTCAGGGTAATTCTTAATTTGTCTATACTTAATCCACTCGAGACGATCAAGTGAACAAAATGAAATAGGTTCAGAACATTGATTAAATTCGGTTATATGCATTACAACCACTCTTCACACAACCAAGACTAAACCTAAAAAGTTTTTTTTTTGTCCATTTTTTTAATTTTGTAAAAACAGACTCACTATCCAGTTCTTTGACGTCTGTCAATCACAAAGATGAATATGGATTGTTTCCTCCCCAATCAAAACTTAACTTTATCCTCAATAAATAACATCATAAAACAAAATTTTAAAGATAATTCCTAATAAGGTCTGGAAATGAAACAAATCCTTTGTGCAAAACCCTAATCTGCAAAACAAACAAAAAAACTATACAAAAGAAGAAAAACCCAAAAAAAAAAAAAATTCTAACTACTATGTATAGGATGTGCTTAGGGGACATATCAATCGAGCTTAAGTTCCCAATTTGAGTTAGTGCCCAGTTTCAATTGGGGCTTGTTTCCTCCAACAAAATTCTTCTTGCTTAAGCGAAGAATTTAACAAATAAGCATAAAACTCCACATCAGGATTTCCACTATCATGAACATAATTAATCAAATAGACTTGTAGAGGTTCAGAACAAGAAGATGTGTTGAATTTCTCCTCTATAATCTCATTAATTACATCTCCCTCACAAATTTCTCCCTCCTCACTTGGGTGCTTTGTCATATCAAAGATATTCAATTCACTGATCATATTTCCAAATGAAAATCTCATGACTTCATTCCTACAATTAATCAATGCATTTGATGTAGCTAAGAATGGTCATCCCAAAATGATAGAGATTTGTGTAGAGACATTCAAAATTGATTGAGTATTCAAAACAATAAAATTCACTAAAAAATAAAATTTATCAACTTGAACAAGCACATCTTCAAAAACTCCTCGTGCATTTTTTACAGAACTGTCAGCCAATTGTATTGTGATATTTGTGGGTTTCAACTCACCCAACCCTAACTGTTCATAGATTGAATATGAGAGTAAATTAACACTGGCTCCAAGATCAAGCAAGGCTTGCTCATTCCTGAAGTTGACGATTATGCATGAAACCATAGGACTCCCAAGATCTTTGTAGTTTAGGGGGGGTCTTATGCTGAATAATAGCTCTAGCCTATTCAGTAAAAAATGCTCTTTCCTATACATTGATCCTTCTCTTTACTGTGCAAAGGTCTTTCAAAAAGTTGGCATAGGATGGAACTTGCTTGATTGCATCCAAAAAGGGATATTAATCTTTACTTTGCTTAAACAACTCAAAGATTTTGGCATGATTATTCAATGGTTGATGTTTCTTGACTCTTAAAGGAAAAGGTAAAGGGGCAGGATTTGATTTTTCTTTTTTATCAGGCAACTTTGTTTCTTTTTCAATCATTGGTTCAGAGTCAATTTGTTCATTAACAAGGGTTGACTCAGCTACTGACTCGAGAGTTTTGGCTTTAATGGTCTTAGCAATCACCTTACCACTCCTTAGTGTGTTAGTTGCTTGAACCTGATTTGGAGAACATTAGCCTGATTTTGACCCTGCTGAGGTTTAGGTTGAGATGAGAGTTTCCCTTCTCCATTGTGCTCAAAGACTAGGTCAACTTAGCTAAATGACTCTCGGTATCCTCGATGTTTTGTGACGTTTAAGATTTGAAATCATTGAATGCATGAGTAAATTGTGTATTAAAATTCATTTGACTCTGAATGAATTGATTCATGGTATCTTTCCAAATTCTTTTATGTAGATGTTCGTAAGGTTGCTGCTGAGTCTGAGGTTGTGGTGAGCGTGAACTTGGTTGTTTACTCATAGGCTGTGTGTTTCTCCAACTTAAATTCAGGTGATTCTGCCACCCTAGATTGTAGGTTTACAGTTTGGATTGGAATAAGGCTCATTATAGTTTGAAATGACATTGGTTTGTTTCATCAAAATCTCCTTAAAGGCTAGGATGGTGGAACACTCCCCCGAGGGATGTCTCGACAAAGTACAAATTCCACACAACTGATCAGTAGGTGATACAACATAAACTCCTTTGAATTTTTTCATCTCTACATCTTCCAACTTTAGAGACAAAGTAGCCATTTTGGCCCTCAGATCATCATCTTCTTTTAACATATATTTCTTTTCCTAGGATAAAGATAGCTTAGTTTCAACAATATTTGGTGAGATCGAGTCCCACATATGGGAACTCTCAAAAATGATATAAAAAAACTCAAACGCCTCGTTGGGATTTTTACCCATGAATTCTCCCTAGGCCATCATTTCAACAAATTGATGCATTGTAGAAGGAAGAATATCATAAAAGAAACCGGCTAGGGTCTAACTTTCAAATGCATGATGTGGGCAAGCTTGGAGAAGATCCTTAAATCTCTCCCAACATTGGTAAAAATTTTCTCCCTCTTTCATAGAAAAATTCATGATTTGACATCTCAATGCATCAGTGCGATGTACATGAAATAATTTCTTGAAAAATTCAGTTTGCAAGACTTGCCAACTTGTAATAGATTGAGCTCTTAAACAATTTAGCCACTTTTTAGCTTTATACTTCAAAGAAAAAAGAAAAAGTTTCAATTGGGCTACTTCAAAATTATCTTGCAATGCACCACATACTTCCTCAAATTTGTTTCATATGCAAATAATGATTTTTACACTCAAAGCCATAAAACTAAGGTAAAATTTGTATTGTTGTTGTTTTAACGTTAAAATTTGCAACATTTGTGAGAAAATCAAATCATGATGGGATACTAGTGTGTGTAGGATGCAAATACTCTCTCAAAGGTCTAGCATTTTGAACCACCTCTTATTTTCATTGAGTATTATGGGTCATACTTAGCTCAAAAGAGTCTGACGATGATTGTGATGATGAAGATGGTGAAGATGAAGGACTAGACTGCTTTACAGACCCTACTAATGACTTAATAGACATCAATAATAATAACAAATAATATATACACATATAATACAAACTAGATTACCGGTAGTTAAATGGGGTTACCATCAAGAATAGATACCCTTTGTTGAGGATAGATGACTTGTTTGACCTGTTGAGGGGAGCGCGGGTCTACTCCAAGATAGATCTTCACACTGGATACCATTAGTTAAGGATTAGAGAGGCAGATATCCCTAAGACGGCGTTACGGGCATTTCGAGTTTACGGTGATGCCATTCAGATTGAAGAATGCCCTAGCGGTATTCATGAACCTTATGCATAGGGTGTTTCAACCTTATTTAGATCAA